ATCAATGATGGACAGTATGATTGTTTATTTAAAGATGATGAATCAAATCCGATGATGAACGTTAGTGAACGTTATCGGTACAATTGTTCAGATAAACAATATATTAGCTATCAACAATTAGGGGATGGAAAAATCGATTGTGATAATGGCAATGATGAACTTTTGAGATGGCAAAATTTTCAATGTACTTCTAGAACAAGTAATATTTGTCAATCATTCAGAACTACCATACTTCAAAATGATAATTTAGTATTTTACGAAGAACACTGTGATACATTTGTCAGTGATTCGAGTGGAGCTGATGAACGTGGATGTGATAAATGGGTTTGTCCACTTGATCGAATTCAATGTGTGAGTACGGGACAATGTATTAAAGATGAATGGATTTGTGATAAGGAATGGGATTGTAAGTAATTATATTGCTATAAGCTCCATTTAATTGTTTAAATCTTTCTTTTAGGTTTTGATGGTAGTGACGAATTGAATTGCTCAATATCAGAACATCTTGATCAATCAGTTTGTAATATAACCCATGAACATTTTTGTTTAACAAAAGAATATCTTGACGATCCAAGTAATAATCGACCATGTCTTGATTATAAAAAAGCTGGTGATGGTAATTCCGATTGTTTAGGCGCAATAGATGAAAGAAATATACGATTTTGTAATGGAACCAATTTATTAATAGGTGATCAATTTCAATGTAATAACGGATCTTGTATGTTAGCTAATCAAGTCTGTGATGGTCAAAACGATTGTTCAGACGGCGAAGACGAAAGTTTTTGCCATTTGAATATTTCTAATCATGCCTGTGTCACACTTGTTTCATCGCATTATTGTGAAGGTGGCCGGTGCCAAAAAAATTGTCAGTTCATTAATAACACAATTAAAGCTGGTTGCCATATAACAAATAAGAAGTGTATATTAATGAGTAAAACATATCGGACATTTGAAATGTCGACCTCACTCAGTTATCTAAGCTGTAACAAGTCACAAACAGATACCGAGACAGAGATTTATAAAAACAGTTCAACATCATCAATTGAATATTCAGGTTATTGTAATAAAGGATTTTATTTATTATCTAACAAAGTACCATTATGTTTTTGTCCGTTAACTTATTATGGTGAACGATGTGAATTGCAAAGTCGCCGCATCTCTTTGCGTGTAACGCTTAATCGTTTACATCGACAAGATTTACCAGATATTGTGCATGTTCTTGTTTTGTTACTTTGTAATGATACACAAATTGTTGATCACACATATTTCGTTGATTCAAAAGAAGATCTATCAAAACACAATGAATCATTATTCTATTCTCGTCCATTCTTGAAGTGTGAATATTCGGTTCAATTTGAAGTATATTCAATCAAAAAATCACTAATTATACTAAATGGTTTATTTAAATACAATATAACACATTCGTTTCTACCATCTTATCGTCTAGCAAAAATATTATATTATCCTGATAATGGTAAAAATCCATTAAAGTGTTCATTGTTGTGTGAGCATAATGGTACCTGCTATTCAACCATGGAGGACGTACGAGTTGATATTTGTATATGTCAGAAAGGATGGTCAGGAAAGACATGTGAATACAAATATGACGATAAATATTGTGATTCAGAGCACAGCCTCTCTCGTTCATCTAATATATGTATATGTCACGAAGGTTATCTATTACCAAACTGCTCTGTAAAGAATGACGTTTGTGAATCCTCTCCTTGCATGAATAATGGCACATGTTACCCAACACCAACTGGTTATGATTTTTTTTCATGTATTTGTCCAAAAGCATTCGAAGGTTGGAGATGTGAAAATGAAAAATTAAGCTTAACTCTTGAAGATATGTCATCCGAACATCCATTTATCATAAGATCTGTTCGAATTCATAACACGTTCACAAGCATCGAAAATCAAGTTCTTAAGTTATCGGGCCAGAAAAATTATACATTTGACTTTCATCGTCAATATGGGGATGAAAACAAGACAAATTTTGTATTTTTATATACTTATGACAGAACGGATATAAATATTACCAAACATCTCTCTTTTATGCACAAATTTTGCGATTTTACTAACATAAACAAAACAATAATCAAATATAATAATACGCGTATATGTCTGAATATTAGGGGATCGAATTTAAGTGTATTATCTTTGGCAAAATATTGTCAAAATATTTCGGAGATGTGTTTTTATGATAAAAACCATATGTGCCTCTGTGAAAATCGTAATCGAAGTGAATGTTTCCGGTACAATCATGATTTAATTTATTGTAACGTGGGTAATTTGTGTAAAAATGGTGGAATGTGTATTCAAGGTGATCAAAGTAATAATAAAGATATAGCATGCATCTGTCCTGAATGTACATTTGGAGAACAGTGTCAATTTTCTGACAGATTTCTTCTATCATTCGAAACACTAATCACATTGATATCACCTAAGAAAATATCATTGTATCATTTAATGATACCGATCTTCTTTTTTACATTTGGATTTTTCTTTAATGGTTTAAGTTTATTGACATTTAAACAATCCAGAACACGTACACAAGGTTGTGGTGTCTATTTATTATTAAATAGTTGTCTATGTCAAATATCATTAACATTTTTAGTAATTCATATCATATATTTAATTGTATCACATCTCCCAATTGTAATTAATTCAGTATTAAATCTTATGCTCTGTAAAAGTATAGATACGATTATTATCTCATTATCCTATTCAGTATTGTGGTTATCAGCATTTGTGACTGGAGAACGTGCATTAAGTGTTTTAAAACCAATAGGTTTATTATCTCTGAAAACACCAAAATGTGCTATGATTATAACGTGCATCATCTTATTCATTACATTTGGTTCATCCGTTTATACTCATGCTTTCATGTATAAAACCGTTCATCCAGCTGATAAAACTTTGACATGGTGTGTACGTGAAATATCTCCATATCATCAACATTTCGTGAATGGATTGATGATGATACATACGACATGTCCATTTATTTTAAATTTTATATTTGCAATGGTAATTATTGTTATTATTAGTCGTACAAAAAGAAATTTTCATAATTCATCGCATCGAGAAACTTTGTTTACACAAATTCGTCAACGTCAAGATTTGTTATTAGGACCGATTTTTGGTCTTATAGTACACACACCACAATTAGTTATTCAGCTTTTAAATGGTTGCAATTATTTAGATAACATGTTGTTTATACACATCATATTAGCGACTTATTATATCTCATTTATTCCGCAAACTACAATTTTTTTCTTTTATGTCTTAACATCGTCATCATACAAAGCCGCGTTATTACAAGAGGCAACAATTGGTAGATGGTTTAATAGAAAATTTAGAGATGAAATGATGAATAGAGCATCATCAAAACAATGTGAAAATTTAAGAGCCATTGTCCTATATCATTTAACAAGAGAAAATCAAGATGATCCGACAGTCACTGCACCGTGTGCAGCTTCTACAGAGCAGGCGGACATGTAATTTTTATTGTCAGGGATCGTCTCTTTTTGCACAAAAATGACTTTTGAACATCCAGAAACTCATCAGTTAAACATACCAATTAAAAACCACAAATTCCAAAAACACGTTTTCCAGCCAAACAAAACACCTGAGATCCCTCCCCCTTTGCCCAAAAATTTTGTTGAAAAATGTTTTCCGCGAAAATTGGACATTTTATACACTATTCGATGCAGCTTAGTGTGCTGATTTCAAATATGACCTTATTTTCGAATAAAAGTGCTCATCAGGCGAGACAAATAGAAAATACTTGAAAAACCAAGATTTCTTTGGAAAACCTATTGTACGGTCCAGGAACATTTATGCTAATTTGTACTATCTGTGGCGATAGAGATGTCACTGTAAATGTCACGGCTTTGCAGCTAAGTTTTCGACAGCTGCATTTCCAAGCTACATAAGGTATGAAACAAAATTTTTTACCCCATCAAATAGCCATCTTTTGAAGTGTAGTGTTCATTATTTGAATCGTTAAAAGGTTGCTTTTCATTTTTTCGCCTAATGTCCGGCTGGATACACACTATGCATTGTTGCAAGAGAAGCAAGAGAAAATTTATAAACATTTTCTCATAAGCACTATGTGTACCAAACATATACACACACACCATCTGGTCTTCCATTGTATTGGGCAAGTAAAATTCTAGAAGGTCATCTTTTTATCGAGACAACTTTATTTTTTCGCTTACCACTATCCATTTTGACTTGAAATAGTGAAATTTTGTTCAAGTTCGTTTAAAGTTCAAGTAAAATATATCATATTCAAGAGCGGAGTCGATGAGCTTTTACACAGAATAAACATAAATAGAAAACATATCTATTCCGTATAGCCAAATAGCATGTTAACTATTGTGTGCACCGGCAACATCAGCATCAGTTGAGCGTGTTTTCTCACAACATCCATATCTTCTTTTCTTTCAATAATTGATGTCAGTTAGCCCGCCCAAATATAGTGCAATAGGTTGTTTTTGCAATAACTTAACAACAATAAGCCCTAGAGACTTGCGGTTTTCAATCGAACGTAGACACTTGAAGCTAACTTTACATAAGCAAAAACTAGTTTGAAAAAGATTTGAAAAACTGGGTTTCCCCAGAATCTTTGAAAAAGTAGCTTGGATTTCCAAAATTTTTGCCTATTTTTGAGTAAAATCAAAAGATTCATAACCTAGCTTTTCAATAGGTTTCTGAAACTTTTCTGAAAAACAAATGTTGCCACGAGATTCAGCATAGTCGATAACCTATGTGTTTCTTCCGTTACCAGACCCAATTTAATCGGAGTCATATAGCTTCATGGAACACCCTGGCCGTTCAAAAACCAACCAAAAGCAAGAGATCGTTTACATCCAGATTTGTAGAAGACACTTTGTTCTATCTACCTATGAAAAAAATTCGACGGATTGCTATTTTTGTTTCTCGAAATCTAAGCTAGTTTTTCAAACGTTCTCGGAAAATCCAGTTTTTCGAATTTTTTCCAAACTCGATTTTGCTCATGTATAGTTAACTTCAAGTGTCTACTTTTGGTTGCTGAGAACCGCAAGTCTCTAGGGCTTATCGTCGTTC